TAAACTCTTAAATGTAGCATTTAAAAATAATGCTCTCACGTATATATTATATATACATGTAATAATTTTACACTTTAATTTTATTATATCTATTTTCCCAATTTGATTCTTATTCTTTAAATATTTAATACTTGCTTGCATCGTATATTATTCGATTTATTTAATTAAATAATTTGATGAATTATACAATATAATGATTTTGTAAATAAAATTTGAGTAAAGTACCATGTCTTAAAATATTATTTAATTCTTTGCCGGGAGAAAATTTTTTTCGCAGGTCGTGAATGTATTTTTCCAACGCGGTTGCATTTTCCTATTTTTTTTTAACGTACATACAACGGTACTTACAACTAGATCGCGACTTGCTCGCTCGCAAAATAGCGTGCAATCTACACGCTCTAATCGTCCGGCGAAGGTTTAAGGCATCGATCGACTGTGTCGTTGGAAAAAAAAACGGATAGGAACGTCTAAGTGAAGGAAGTAAAGAAAAAACAGTAAAGGACCCAGCGATCTACGAAACGGATAGGTCGACCGATGTAGACTGCAATTTTCTGGTAATCATTTATCCACGACACAGTGTTACACTTTCACCTCCTCCTGGCACGAATACGTAGATTCGACCAGCGCACGTACCGTGTTACGCGATTAAACGATCACAGAGTAGGCGATCGCACCCGGTATGTGGAACGCTGATTCATGATAGCGTGTCCTTTCGTCACGAAATATTTTTATTCGACATTATTTATTTTCTTTTTATATTACCATTTATTTTATTCCGCATGAGATAACAATACATTAAACAATCTTGCGTTAAACAGAATTATAAGATATATAATATTTATTGATTACTGTAGTTATTATTTTTTGTTATTATTTTGTTCGCGTTTTTATAAAATTGATTGCTACGAATGAATTAAGATATCCCTTGATTGTGCAATATTAAGAGCGCGGATTTACGTAGACGTAATAATGCACGATAACGAGACGTGAAAAACCTCGGTGCCACGAAAGTTACCGTATCGTGCCAGAACTTTAATCTAGCGTTTCGATCTAGCAGGCAACTTTGTTGATAAAGAGCTTTTACAGGCTAAATGAGCAACTTCGATGTTTCTTGCAGGCTTGCAATTAATAAAGAGCAAGCTTCGCTAGAGAATACGATAAAACTTGTCGGACAAAAAGCTCCATTGTTTTGCGTTGACACTTTATTTGCACGACTTTCCGAAAACTTTATTAATAGAATGTCGCAAAATTGCGGTTAATTGCACATTTTATCTGCAAACGTAAATTCTTTTATGTGGAACCAAAATTTTGTATGTTAAATTTTGTATGCTAAGATTATTATATATGTGGAAAAAATCTTTATGTGTAGGGTATTCTATATTTTTTATACAATATTTATAATATAAATTTTTAATATCTTACATATGTGTGTGTGTGTGTGTGTGTGTGTGTGTGTGTGTGTGTGTGTGTGTGTGTGTGTGTGTGTGTAAGATATATTAAAAATTTATATTTAATTATATATATATATATATATATATATATATATATAAATAATTGAGTAATCCTAATGGAATTGGAATTTTTATATAATATTTCATACGTATTTTTTAAATGTATATTTTGCGTATTAGAAAAATTTAGAGTATAATAATAAGAAAAGGTTTTCTTGAAATAACGATTTTACCGTTTATTTAATATCCATTATATTGTTGGATGTATGTGAGAGTTGCATTTCGATAACACGTAACGCATCTCCATTGATCTTCTCTCGTTCCTTTGTCGACTTTTCCCCGAGAGGTGACGTAACGCTGTATCAGACCCTTTTCCCTCTCTCTCCCCCCTGACGCGCGATCTGCGATCTCTCGATTTTCCGTTGTTGCGAGGGATACGTTTTCTTCTTGTCTCTCTTATGTGACACTTGAATGACAGGTCACTGGGGTTTCGGTGACACCGTAATGCCGACCGGCCTGCAATTGCCGAGATTGGGCTGTCGTCAATTACTTATTCCGATTACTATTCGCATGTTGTACGCCGCAGTATCATATTCTCAGAGGCGTGAATTTTGTTAGAAAAATTTCAACTATTAGCATTTAATGGTAATTTTCTTTTAAAAAATATATAAAAATATATAAAAATAAATTTTTTGTAAGAATTTTATGCAAAGAAAAATTAATATGAATTTTTCCAAATTTAAAAATAAATCGAAACTCGACTTCACTTTTCTACACGATATCAAGTAGAATACTCAATAAAGTAACTCATTTTTATTGTCTATTTTTTATTAATTTTTAATTTAAATTTTATTAACAGCTATATTATATGTATGTATATTTTTAATAAGTTTGAATATATAAGTCTTATGATTTCATGTTCAAGATAAGAAATCTTTTAAAGAAAATATAAGAATTTTCATGATCTGTCTATGAAATTTCATATCATAAATCTATCTTTGCATTGGAAATTTTGTACGAAAAGATTTCTGACGTGTTTAATTGTAGTTACTATACATGTTATTAATTTCACAAATTTTTATTATAAAAAATTCATAATAATTCAAAGATGGTCAAATTTTGTTTGCTTTTTAAAAAATTAATGATATATTGAATAGGTTAACATTTTAATTGATCAATTGTTAGTTATCATTATCAGTTTTATATTCCTATTCGCTAAATCTGGCAAGGGAATTAATAGCAAGTTTACTTTAAATCATCTAAATTTTGTAGCGTCAACGCAATATGCGAATTGGACATTTGTGGTTCTATCTTTGGAATGAATGTGTTATCGTCGAGATTACCGAATCTTGTAATCCGATTTTCGGTTTAACCTCCTCTCTCGTGTCAGATTTAATTGGTATCATCTGCTATATTAATATCTAGAACAATGTGAATTTATTCCGTTGCTAATGGGACGAAGCTACTACTGCTCTTTGAGAACATGTATAATTCGCGAAATTTAATCACAGTGCTTAAGGATATGGAAGATGTTTAAATATTGATCATATGACATATATTAATTTACACGTACCGGACTGAAGAATATTTCGTACCAACTGGAATTAACTCAAACCCAGGTTAATTTCACGTTTCGCGTGACAATTAAAATGAACGCATAATTAATCGTTTTGCAATCGATTAATACCTATACAATATATTGCATGTATCTACAAAACTTGTTTAGGTATATCAATCTAATTATGGAGTATAATAATTACAATACAGAGTTATTTATTATGTCACAATTATATAATATTGCGTATACATCTCTCTCTTTCTCTCTCTCTCTCTTTTTCTCTCTCTCTTTTTCTCTCTCTCTCTCTGTCCCCCTTCCTCTCTCTCGTATTTCGTATATCATTGTAATTGATTGATTATTTACTTTTCATAATGATAAATCGTAATTATGTAATTATTAAAAACAATGTTAAAAAATATATCCTATAGAAAAATATAATTATTGATTAATATTATAATGTGAGAAAAATTTTTTAAATTATAAATGTACTATTTTATATTATAATATAGCGTAAATGTGAGAAATTTCCTTTGTAGTAATTTTGCTAATCGTAAAATTGTTTTGCAACATTCACAAAAAATTACTTTATTGTTTAAAACAATACTTTTTATTGATATTGAGATAAAGAAGAAGTAGAAAGTGGGTTAAGTAACGCGAATACAATCAATCCGTTGTGTAAATTGATGGCACAGTCAACGATTACATAAATATATAAATATATAAATATAAATATATAAATACGTATATTCTTTCTCTTTCTTTTTCTTTAATATGAAGTATATACAGAATCGATTATTCTATTTTTTTTTATAAAATAGACATACTGGTCATACAACATATATCTATGAAAGAATTAAATTTCCCAATCTCTCTCAGTTCGCCTACATATGTATTATAAAAATTAATTAAATTAGGAAATTGAGAGAGTTAACTGTTTTAAATAAATTATTTAATTAACTTAAAATATTTAAATCAATTTTATAAAATTAGCAAAATTTTATGAATTTGAAATACAACTTATTTATCATGTTCTATTTAGAATCGACACTTTCGATGTGAAAGTATGCTTTACCTAGATTTGTTCTCTAGGTATTCTCGGCCGCGTGATCGATCTTGATTAATTTTTTATCATCTCCGAAACTCCGAATTTCTCGTCCGCGATTTCAGATTAATGGGAGATAAAGATGACGATTAGCTCTTACCAAAACAATCATCGCGGAGAGCCTTCGTGTCAGACGACAGTATGCACCGCTTGTACGTAACGTAAGATCGCTATCGGGCCGCGCTCTCGCGTCGGTAATTCTCATCTCGAGGTTAATTGTGCCTATGTACCACGTCCTCGTGAGACAGGCGCATTATTATGAGGACTAATCTCGCGGATTGGCAACGACGATAATGCCGTTGCAAGCGCAAATGTCGAGAACCGGCAAACCGTAACGCTCGACGAATGTGATCGCGCACCTTGTCGTGCTGATAGTCCTTATTTCTCCTTCATCTCTCTCCCATATTATTGATATATATTGTACGTGTGTACGTGCTGATTTATTTTTATACTTAAAAAATCTTTAGTAAAATCTGCGGTTTTAATTTAAGAAAGAGAATATTCGATTTGTTCTGTACGCTAATAATAAGAAGAAATACAATGCAAATTTTTAAGAAAACATATGTTAATAATATAATTAAATTGGTTCGTGTTTATAAAAAGATCATGTATTTTTTTAGATATATTTTTTAATAATTCCATAGGTATTGATTTCATAATTAATTACTGAAATAACAGTACAATTAGTAAATGCATAAATATATTACAGACATATATAACGTAATAACGAAATATTTAAATAGATGAAACGAGACTCTCATTTAGCATTAAATATGCGTGGAGTTTATTTTCATATTACGTTATTATTGTTTCTATTATTGATGCTTTTCTTTGCTGACACTTGCTGTTATTCATGTCGTTTACTCTAATTCAAACTTTCGATTTTCAGGGTTTACCTAACTTTGGACACCACCTGTCGACAGTTTACGTCTTACGTCTCGCGTCTCGCGGTTGCATCTCTCTCGTCGTTGATTGTTTCGCGCATTTCGTCGAAAAAGTCAAAGTGACATATCGGAATGCACGTGTCACGTGCGGTAATTTAGACAACGTTTCGTCAATCGAATTGCATGGAAAACCTGTTGGTGAGATCGGTCGCGCGCAATTTTTAATCTCGCAATCGATGTCTATCATGGTGTCTGTTATAGTGTTTACGCGTCGTGAGTGTGATAAATACCGGACAAGGTCATCGCGAGTGCATACGAGTGTCGCGTTCGCGAGTGTTTGCAAGTGTTCATTCACTTTTGATAGTGAATGACTCAACGCAATGCGAGGAACGAGCAGTCTGGCAATCAACGAAGTATGTGGACCTCGAGGATTGAGAATTCCAGGAAGAGTGCTGCGAGAAAGTGAGAATCAAGAGACACCGATTACGTGAGTATCAGATGATATAATTCTTTAAGCATGACTCATACATGATTGCTGATACATGATTCGTCGAAATCGGCTATATCTCTTATAAGTGATATAAAACAAATTAATTGTATGAAATACCAACGCATACCAGCATCGTATTATAATGAATCATAGAATGTGGATATATGTTTCTACATCCTATTTTTGTCTTTATTATTTGCATTTATTTAGTCATCCATATTTATTTTTATTACTTTTATTTTATATTTATATGCATTAATTTAAAAAAAAATTGGCACTATTATTGGTAATGATTTAACAAATCATGATTTAACAAATCTTCTTAATATAAAAATCAGTTTCAAACATCATAATTTTTTCAAATTAAATATAGAATAAAGAATACAAAATTTTGATATAAAAAATATCATATATTTATTATGTGCCATATATATTACGATGCTATATAATACAAACGATTATTATAATATATAATTGGCAATATAAGTATATTTTTGTCAATAACATAATTTTTAATACATGAATTTCTTAGGTATTGATTTAAAATAATCTATAGAAAAAAACCATATCATTTACACGATACGAAAAAACTATTTAATTATTTTAATTACACATGGAAAAAAATAGTATCAAAATTTAGAATATTTAGAATATTATTTTTCAAATACACGTATACAATTTTGTCTATGAAAGATTAAACTGTAGTCTATAAAAATTAAGAAAAAGTACAACAACGTAAAATAACTTTTATGGGAAAATAACTTTTATGATATGTACTACAATTTATGAAGTTAGATCTAGATCAAGTAAACCAACACAAACTGTTATCAATATATAATAAACAAGCATCTGTCTCATAATTCTGGTAAAAATCTTTTATCAATATATCGATTACACATTTTAAAAATACTACACATAATATCTTATTGAAAAATAACACAGCTATGCATTTCTACATTTTCTCAGGGATTATTTTGCTTAGGATAATTTAAAATTAAAAAAAAATATTTTTTTAAACTATGAATACAACTATTGTTGCATTCTGTATATGCATTTTTCAAAACATTAATATCAGTTTTATAAAAATATTAACATGTATAGTACACTACAAGATTTCCATCCATATGCATTATTATTTTTTAACAAAATTTAATTAAAAAGTGAAATATGAAAAGTAAAACATTTTAAAAATGTATTTAATCGATATGTAGCTGAAGAATTTTTTATTTAAATTACTATTTATATAATCCAGAAGAATATTTTAAAAATATTTTTTTTTCGTCCTTACAGTAATGTTTTCTGTTAATTTTTATAGATTACAGTTCAGCCTTTTACATTACGTGTGTCTTGTAATATAGTATAATTCGGCTTATGCGAAAAAAAATATCAGATGCTGCCCGTCTCTCTTCGGGAAGTATTATAATCTTATATGTATACCCGTCTATGTAAAATTATGTGCTTCTGCGCACCGCGAGGAACCCATATAAGAGTCTTTATATAACCGGTAACGAGTAAGAGGATCCTGCTACTGGCACGTGCCAGGACGCGATGCTAATAAATTCGCTTTTTCATGTGAAAAAAAAAATTAGAACAGAATAGTTCGAGGGAGAGAAATTATCTATTAAATACTTGAATGATTTAGGCTATCAATAATTTAATTACTTCAATCTAACTCATCTAATTATTAGTTTTCGTTTAGATTATTGCTTTTAGAAATAAAAATGTACAAAAGTATAAATTTTATTTGATGATTGAATACATTGAACAATTATATATAATTTTTATAAATTTTTTTCTTAAAAATTCTCTTAATTTAATTTAATTTTTTTATTAGAAATGTAAAATTACATTTTTAATTATTTAAGTAATCGTATTTTAGGTATCTCTTCGTAAGTCTTTGGATCTTTGCAATAGTACTTTTATCACAATTATTTATAGATGCACAGAAACGTAGAAAGTTCAGTAAGAGACATCAAACAAAAAAATATCAATTACTCGATACCGTATAATAAAGATAATTTCGAAATAATCTTTTCTTCCCCTCTTGACGTAACTCATTTATATGCGATGCCTGAATACGCACGTGTCGATATATTCTCTCCTAAGGAAATGCATGTAACGCACGAAAGTTACTTTGTTCGCTTTTGCGATCGGTAAATTAAAGCCAACATAAGAGTTCTCTTTTCCATCGTTTATTCTCTTTGTAGCACCGCTATTCGGTGTCACGGCGACATGTCGCCGTGAAATGCGACGTCCACGATAAAGAGCGTAAGAAGAAAGCCAAGGTTCTATCACCCTTTCTTGACCCCTGACAAGTTCGTTGACACGAACAATTGCTTTGACTTTGAGGTGCATATCTGTCGCGATCCACAGTTATTCGCGTGAAAGTTGGCACGATCTTAACTGCACGTTCTTTTAGTTGATTTTACATTGGCGAGTTTGTAACATTACTTACACAAAGTGCCAGGGAAAATTTTCAATTTTGTTTTGTTTTTCAACGGCAGATTTTCCAGCAAAAGGCAATTTTTATTTATTAAAATGGATTAAAATTTAGAATCTTTAATTTTATTATCTTATGATAAATTAATATTATTAAGTAATAATTTTAAAATTAATTATTTTAATGGAAAAAGAGATTGCAATTGATTAATTGTTAAAAATATATTTTACGATATGTACAATAAAATATATATCTCAAGACGCGTGCTGAGAAACCTTTCTCGAAGAAATAACACAAGATGTTGCGAAGCCATAAGAGACCAAGCCAAATTAATTCTAGACCGGGTGTCTCCCGCTTTCTTTCTTTTTTTTATTTTAAGTATCTCCTAATCGCGGGATCAGACATTTTGGGAAACCCTCCTTCGAATAGCGACGATTACTCACGAAGTGGGCAATTGGTATAGCGAGACGCGAACGAGAAGCCCTTGAGAAAATCCCGCGCATATGGTTTCAGAATATTTTCATTGTGACCGTCGCCCACACGAAATTGTTGCTGAACCTTATTTTTCGGTCAATTTAAATTTTAAATTAATTAAAATTTTAATTAATTAAAATTTAGTATTCTCAAAAATTGAGAAAAACATCAAATGTTCAAAATTAAAAAACTCTGGAAAATGAAATTTGTTCGCATTTTGAGTGAAGAAAAAATCGATTATAAGTTTACTATTTCGATCGAAATATCGACTATAGCACATCTGTGTGCACAGTACGATTGAAGTATCGAAGTGTCAAAAGTGTTTGTGGGAGGGTCGCGAACATATCCGCTTCCCACGCCGCGTACGATTCTAGGATGCCAAGCAAGGGATGGATGATTGTACTGTTGAGCGTTGCACGGTTTGACAGGACGGGGTACACATCCCTCGTATGTACAGGTGGGACATGTTTCTGGTGTTTAATGGAACCTATGGGAACCTGCGCATCGTTTCGCGATGAGTCACGCATCTCGTTGCATTTTTACGTTTCCTGTCGTACGTTTGTACTGTCACCTTTGTTCGATATAATCTGTAAACAATGGTAAATTACTTAATTGTACAAATTCAAGTTTTCCTTCTGTAGAAATGATATCTAACATTAAATGTTTTTGTTTCAATAGATAAGAGAACGTATCATGAATCTTGTTAAAAGATATTGGTTAATTTTAATCTTTAATCTGATTTTTTATATTTTTTAGAGAAACAATTGCAGAAAAGAATATAGAAAAAAATATATATTATAATATATTACCACTTTTATTTTCTTATCATTTAAGTTAGAGTATTTTTTTTAAAGCATATTTTTAATAACAACAATTTTTTTCGTTAGTTGATTTTACTAAATTTTAGTAATAGCGAGATAATTTTAATTATCGTTCTATATACGAAATAAAAGATTTTAATTGTCCTGAGTACGGAAATTATTCTATTGACATTATAATATTCTTTTTAGCAAAGTATAAGCTAGAAATTGTATTGTGTTTATATTCACACGAATAAATGTATCTAGCAGTAAATATTCATATCCTAACACTTTCTTCGTATCACTATTCATATCGTTGCTGAGCTATTTCTGTTCCGCAAATTATAGGATTGCCCGTTTACTAAATCGATATAAGAAAAATATCGCAGCTTAACTTAATCGAAGCAAAGGCATATCTTTTCCGCTTGCGATATAAAATAAGGTGGAATTCTAAAGAAACGTTTTAAAATTTATATCAAAATACAATGCGCAATTTATTTAATGAAAGTACATTTTTTTATTGAAAATTTAAGAAGTTTGGAATTTTATTCTATTCCACTTTTGATAGATGAGGATTTAGAATTGTCTATGAAAAAGTTCTTAAAGTAAAAGTTTATTTTTCATCGTTTTCAATATCATCGCAATCTCTTGACATGCTTAATATATAATGCATTTATATTAAAAGAAAATTAAATTATTTTATTAAATTAATTAATTAACAAACAAATTAACTGCCGAAAATTAATTGATGAACAAAGACAATCAAATATTTACAAAAGAGATTGCAATAATCAATTAACGTGTAGGATTTTTTAATAATTTTTCGCATCAAGTGAAAAAAATTGCGCTGCGTTGAATGCATCCTTTCTCATATCGCCGCGTATCGCGAGGATATCGATGACCAGGTATGTTTTCGTATCGATCGTATGACGGATCGCAATCGGAACTACGAGACGCCATGGATAGACAGGACGCGCAAGTGCAGGAAGGAAGTGTCGCGGTCGCTCTTCCGGGCAGCTGGCCTGGATATCGGCGTGTCCTATAGACACTGTAGGGTAAAGTAATCCACTATAGGACACCGTACAAGTGCCATTACCGCACGAGGGGGGTGCTCGGGGCTTCATTTAATACCTCGCGGGTACATAATTAGGATCCGGATAAATATAATATCCGAGTTTAATATCTGCCGTCAAACGGATCTTATTTCGCCTCTTATGAAATTAGAGATATTAGAGATCTTGGAATTGAACTAGAAATAATTAATGAATTATA